CCAAATACAATTATGTCTGAAGGTGGGTAACATAAAAAAGGGCGTGAATCCATCTTCAGTGAAGGAAATCTTTTTCACTGGCACTTATCTTGCCAAGGGCTTTAAGATTGGCGTAGTTGCAGGCATGATTGCTTTGACAGTAAGAAAATTCTCCATACTTTCAGCTGGGAATTGGAGTTTTTATATGTGATTCTCTTTCCTAACCCAATGATATTTCTAGGAAGCCATTGTGATTGGACGGACATTTGCTACCTTGAAGGAATATCAGATAGATGGAAATAAGGAAATGATAGCACTAGGAACGATGAATGTGGTTGGTTCGTTGACATCCTGCTACATTGCTACGGGTATGAAAGGACAAGTACTAAGTGCTTTATTGTGAACTAAAATTTTTTGCTGATATTCACTGGATTATTTGCACTTCGTGCAGGATCTTTCTCTCGTTCTGCTGTTAATTGCGTGGCTGGTTGCCATACAGCAGTCTCTAACATTGTCATGTCCTGCGTGGTGTTGTTAACCCTGGCACTCATCACACCATTATTCAAGTATACTCCAAATGCAATTCTCGCATCAATTATTATATCCGCGGTGGTTGGCCTGATTGATATTGAAGCGGTAATACTGATCTGGAAAATTGACAAGTTCGATTTTGCTGCTTGCATGGGAGCCTTCTTTGGGGTGGTTTTTGTCTCTGTTGAGATAGGCCTCTTGATTGCAGTAAGATTATCAGGAACTTTTGGTAATCTTTAGTTGATTTTCATTCTCCGTGTGGATTACTAAAGTAGAGGTTTCCTTTGGCAGGTTTCAATTTCATTTGCCAAAATACTCTTACAAGTAACAAGACCTCGCACAGCCATTCTTGGTAAGCTACCGAGGACGACTGTTTACAGGAATATTTTGCAATACCCAGAAGCAACAAAGGTTCCTGGAGTTCTGATTGTCAGAGTTGATTCAGCCATCTATTTTTCGAATTCAAACTATATCCGTGAAAGGTACTAGATAGGAGCAAGTGCGGAGGGCAAAATTGGCCCCTGTTTGTCCTTTCTAATTAATTTTTTTGGCCAACTTTGCTAAGAAACTCCATGATTTCCATGTTATAAGATGGACAAGTTAAGCCTAACCATGAATAGGGACAAGAGAATTCTGTGCCGGTGCCTTAGAGCAGCTATTTACATCGGTATGAATTGAATTTTTCAGGATATTGAGATGGCTTGGTGATGAAGAGGAATATCTGAAGCAGAATCATCAACCAAGAATCCAGTACTTGATCGTGGAAATGTCTCGTAAGCTGTTTCTTGCACGACCAGCTTCGCTCTTTTTTATTTTTCCCGTGATCAATACCCTTACAAGTATTTTGACATTATTATCCGTGCCTGCAGCCGTTACAGACATTGATACTGGTGGCATGCATGCCCTTGAAGATTTGCACAAAAGCCTCCAGAAGAGGGATATTCAGGTAATGCTTAAAACGAATTGCTTCATGCTATTTTTATGACATTCTCCATGATGTCTCACCGACCATAAAGTCACTTGCTTTGCTAAGTAATGCATGCTCCTCCAATTGAGATCAAACTTAAATATTTTCCTACAGTGTCCATCTCACCTGCCCCGACCTGCAAAAACTATATCTCCCAAAAAATAACTAAGTTGTTTGAGCAAATAATTGCCTCAGTACAGGTATCAGCTATATGTCTTTTACCCTCAACAGGTTCTTAATATTCTCACCTGAGCAGTTTATCTTCACTCATGCTCAGACATGCTAAAGTATTTGGCAGGATAGGCCCTATAAGCAGACATGCTTTAGCTCATCTCTTGATCGCACTCCACTTGTACAGACTACCATCTATTTTACATTTTACAAGATTACTTTTCGCGTATTCTTCTGCAGCTTGTTCTTGCAAATCCAGGACCGGTAGTGATTGACAAGCTTCATGCGTCCAAGTTCATCGACTTGATTGGGGACGATAAGATCTTCCTTACTGTAGCAGATGCTGTTATGACCTGTGCTCCCAAGACGGAACAAGCCTAATCGTCCCTTTTCACGCGCTCCATAATTTCCGTAATTGTTCCGCTTGAAGATCAAAAAGGTCGGCCACTAACTGAGACTTATCTGGATCTTGAAATGGTGTGTGTAGTGTGTCAGTAAAGAAATGAGAGCCAGTTGTGAATTTGTTTTGGTGGCAGGACGTGAAATGGGTGTGAATGCTGAGTGATAACATAAGCTTTTCTCTCTTGTGGGGCAATTGCAATGTCTGTAGATTTTGTCTTTAAATTGTTCTGGCATGTTTGTGTTCTTCTTATTGACTCCTAAACGAAATGGGACAAATAAATGAAACGTGTGGTTCCCCCGTTGTTTTTTCTTTTATCCCAATCTTTTTGTATATACATTGTTCATTCAAGGATATCAAAAAGTCTGCAATAATCAATTCCAACGATAGGAAGATTCATTCAGACAAACATAACATCTCCATAGACAACGACGAAGATATGGATATACACTATGATCCCACTAGAAAAACACAAGTAGATTGCAGTGTCTTAGACATTTTCGCTTTCGTGGATCATGTGGATGGATAGCTCCATCTTCTAGAAAAATCCATACTCTCCCATAACTGTGCTCCCAAACTTTCGCTCGGAAAATTATCAATGATCATCAACTTTGTTCTAGTTACCGGCGATATGGAATTTCTTACTTCGATACCATATACTTGAGAAGTCATTTCATGCAATCAGTTTCATTCCTGACTTGGTGAAATAAGCCAATCACTTTTCAAGAGAATGGTGTGCCCCAGTAAATAGGAAAATACTTTTTTGAAAATTGAAATCCATGATTCTAAGTGATGGCATGTGATGCATGTAACGGTTGCATCAGATGGTCTCTTGCAATTCTAAGTCTCGATAACTAGTGTCAACTAAGAAAATGAAGGAAAATCACAGAAAGTATGTGCTATGTAGCTTATAGTATGCTTAGAGAGAATGTGAAACCCTTAGGTTCACAACTTTAGTTTGAGTGGAGCGGATGCAATATCATGATTTTGAAAGGTCAAAGTTTGATGACCAACCTTTTCTTTCCTTAGCTCTAGTTGCTAGTTTAAACTTCTTGGTGCAGGTTCTTTTGAATTTTAAGATAATATTACGTCTAATAAAGTGTAATGAAATACTATGTGATAATGTACGGGGGAAAAGTGTCAGAAAAATCCTAAACCTTTTTTTAGTGTCAATTTAGTTCTAAGTCTTTTGAACTAGTGTCAATTCAATCATTCTGACTAATTTTGGCCGGATTTTGCTGACATGAACATCAGTCGGCCTACGTGGCACCGCCTGCGCTGACGTGGACAATTTTTAATAATATTTTAATAATTTTTAATTATTATTTGATTTTTTTCTTTTTTCTTTCTTTCTTTTTTTTTTTCTTTCGCCTCTTTCCTTTGCCGGTGACCGACTATCGACCACCGGCCATGGCCAGGCGAGGATCGGCGTGGCCTGGGCGAGCCTCGACGAGGGCTCCCCTCGCCAGATCTGGAGAGGCCGGCCCTTGGGCAGGCCATGGCGGCCTCGCCAGGTGTTGCCTTGGGCCGAGCGATGCTTAGCGAGGCCGCCTTGGCTTGCGCGAGGGTCGGCCTCGCCAGAACTAGCCTAGGCAAGGCCGACCCCTGCCTACACGAGGGCGAGCCCCGACGAGGGCTCGAGCCTCGCGCTGGCTTGGGCAAGGCTCACCCTTGTCGGATCTAGCGAGGGTCAAGCCTCGCTAGTGGCCAGCGGGGCTCGCCAAAAGCCCCCTAGCCTCCAGCGAGCCTTGCGCTGGCCGGCGAGGCTCGACTCTCGCCAAATCCGATGAGGGCGAGCCTCGCCCAGCCTCTAGTGAGCCTTGCACTGGCCGACGAGGCTCAACCCTCGCTAGATTCGGCGAGGGAGAGCCTCGCCTAGCCGCTGGCGAGGGCAAGCCTTGCTAGTGGCTGGCAGGGCTCGCCAGAGGCCGGCTGGAGGAAGAAGAAAGGAAAAAAAAAAAGAAATAAAAGAAATAAAAATTCAAGAGATAAAAAAATAAAAAAATATTATTAAAAGTTGTCCACGTCATTGCTGGCAATGCCGCGTAAGCTAGCCGGCATCCACGTTAGCAAAATCGAGCTAAAATTAGCCAGAAAGACTAAATTGGCCCAAAGACAAAAGATTTAGGACTCAATTGGCATAGAAAAATGTTTAGAACTAAATTGACACAAATGCAAAAGGTATATGACTTTTCTGACACTTTTCCCTAATTTACTGAGAGAAAAGTTAGTAAATCAAATTACTAAATAAACGTTGGTAACTAACTCAAATGAGAGTTGATAACCTATATTATATAATAGATAAAGTTGGTTAATATGAAAAGATATTGGCAAGTGACTCGAATGAAAGGTAATTACCAAAATCTAATTGGTAATTCAATCTGACAATAATTGATAAAATCACTTTAATTTAGATTAATAATTTCATATAAAAATTAGTAAATTTGAACCATATACATTTGCACACTATTAAGAAAAGTTGGCAATTTTCTAAAACTGTTTAAATTTACCGGCACGAAGAAAAATTCGTTTATTTTGATACGGGAGAATAGAATTCTGCCATTTATGGAATGCTTTTCATGGTTATAAAGATACAAATGTGAGCTTACAGACTTATTGTACGCACCAGACTACTCAGGGCACATTCATCTATCAACACAGAAAACGAAAGATCATAGATGTTCATCATATGTACAGCTGGATTTCAGGAACCAACCAACCAACAAACAAAACTATCAACAAAAAAAATTGCAATTTGATAAATAAATTAAGTTAGTGTAACCCGAATTACAAAAGAATAATTGAATCTGAATCGATGAATTGTCAAAGACGCGTCTTACATAATTATGAATAATCAGAGGGGCTGATAGCAAAAACAAATCATATACTTTCTTCTCCTTCTCTCTCTTTTTATTTTCTTTTTTAATCCTTCATTTTGGTTGAGCAGGTTTCTTAATCTCTCCGGAGGTTGTGAGCGCGTTTTTGCGCGGCCCACGACCCGTTCTTCTGAGCCATCCGATTGTTTGACCTCCTCTTCAGCTCAACGATCTGATCTTGCCACCTACTCCTCAACATCTCCTGATCATCGCTCGTAAATAAACTATTACCATCGACGGCACTGCATGGCGATGTCCAAGATACGGTCGAGCTCAGGCCAAGTTCGCAGTTATATACTTGGCGCGACCTGGGGTCAGACAGCGTCTCGTAAGCCTCGTGAAGCCGGAGGAACATCCTCGTCGACTCTTCTTTCATCGACGGGTCGCGGCACGCGTCCGGGTGATACTGGCGCGCCAGCGATCTGTACGCTCTCTTGACGTCATCGGCGCTCGTGTTGCTAGGGTTCAGTGAAAGCAGCTCGTAGTAGTTGGAGCCATTTTCACGTACCGACCTGGTCGCTGATGATGATGATGATGATTGGCATGAGATGGCGATCCTGGGTCGCGGCCTTTGTGTTGTGAAGAGCGAGTGAGATGGAGAGAGAGAGAGCTGGGAGGTTTTCAGGGCTGAAGTGAGAGAGATGGCCATGAATGATGTTGGAAATGTGTTGCGGGTGAAGAACACAAGAGACTTGATTGTTTTCTTTGCTAGCTCTTGCTGAGCAGGAGTCGAATGAGTTGAGATATATTTATAGGGGTCAGTTGAACGTGCGAGTCGGTCAATGTTCTCAATTCGTACCATCATCTTTCATAAAATATTAGGTACCACGAAAGTGCAAGGAAGGTGGTGGTCGAAGTCCACGTTGAGTTCGAGGTTAAACGCGTTCTTGTAGTAAATATCGATTTGGGCTTTGACTGCAGTAAAATACCGCCTCCCATCATCGGTGGCGAGTTCATCAGCAGATCGATTATATGATCTCGACCCGACGATGACTTATGATGCATTGTAACTATCATCATTCACCTTTCATCTCGATTAAAAGACTTTGTCAATGCACGATCTTCATCTCGATGTGTTAGGCTGAAGAATTATTCAGTGAACGTCACACATTATGTCATGAGTTAATGAGGGGTATGTGTACAAATGGCAACTTTTCTTGCTTTGTCGTATAATTTAAGTCTTGGCGGGACCCGAGTAAATTTTCTGGTTATAGTGCTAAAGATGATAGACAGTCCGCTATTTAGCACTATGTCTATAAAACGTTTTTTTTTTTTTTGCAATTAACCGTATATTAATTTCAATCGAGTCTAATAAACTCAATGTGTGGACGTAAAAGATATATTGGATCTCCGAAGAAGGTGTGCACGCATTTACGATTACATAGGCTCGTTAGCATATATGTCTTTGGAAGAAAGCGACATTTAAGAAACCCTTGTGGACGACTCATTCTTAGACAAACAAAACAGACCAAATCAATTTTTAGAAGATCTCACAATATACTCAAAACCCAGCTTGATCAGAAAAGGTCTTCCCTCCTCCCGTTGCTAAACAAAATATGGGTAGGTGTCAAATTTTGCATATTAAAATCTCGTCGAGAGGATGATCGATTACTGGATAAGCCGGTGGCGTAGAAGGCTAACGAGCACAGTTCTCCGACTCGCATTACCTGAAGCCGACTCATAGCACCGACCGGTGACCTAAATCACTTGCGACACACGAAGTTGATCATATAATGGGTGAGATTGAATCCATTTCCAAATCTTATCTTGTTTTCTTCCTCCTGGTTTCCAGTGTGTGAATGTACAAATTCATATAGCTATATTGTATAGGTATTAGGCAAATGTGCATGTGTGTGGACAATTTGTACATAGCTTGCGTCTCCCTTAAAATGCTCAACCACCAAAAGAATTTGTACATCGCTTGTCCAAGAATCGAATAAGATATTTGCCACTTACTTGCTAACAATTTGTTGTGCTCGTCGCTAATCTTAGGAGTGACAAAAAGTTAAGCAGTAAATCCAGGGCCGGCGAGATTAGTCAAACAGGATTAATCCTTCTTGTCTCTTTTGGCCGCCGTTAGGCACCGCCGAGCCGACGCCTATCACGGGTCAGAACAAGGGCGGCTTTTGGTCTTCTGAATTTGGCCGCCGCACGGGCCTCACATGTCACTATTAGTTAAATCACGTTTTGATTCTATGCACTTTAGATTTTAAAACATTGACACAACCGCTGGTCTTTTCTTTGGTCCTAATCTCTGTCATTCAAACGACGAGAAGATTCATTCCTACAAACGTAACATCTCCATAGATAACGACGAGTGTAAAGATATGCATTTTGATCCTCCTAGAAAAACACAATTACATTGCAATGTCTAAAGATAATTTCAGTTTCAGGGATCATGTGCATGGAGAGCTCCTTTCGTTAGAAAATCCAGACTATCCCACAACTGTGCTCCCAAACTTTGGCCGGGAAAATTTCCAATGATCCCACAACTTTCTCCCAGGGATCATGTCAAGAACCGAAACCCAAACCGAAACCGAAACCAAACCAAACTAAACCGAAAATTCTGAATTTTTCGGTTCAGTTTTATTTCAGTTCGGGTTATGAGAAAATAAACTGTTTTTTTTTTCGGTTCCATTCGGATCGGATTGATTCAGTTCAGGTAACCGATATACATTCGGTTTTTTATAACGTCTGTGTCTCTCTTCGTCCTCATCTCCGATTCTAGCTTGTCTCTTTTAGGCTCCTCTCTTCTCTTCCTTTTCCCTTGGTTTTTGTTTCCAGAGTTCAAGTTTGTCCCGAGACATTCCTTTGAGCAATTATGCCTGAAGCAGCGCCTAGAGGAGGAAGCAAGATAGCAACCTTGAACTCAAGAACATAGCCTCCATGACCCATCGAGCATCCAGATCTGGAGGCGACTCCACCAAATCGAAGGAGACAACGACATGTCGAGGTCCTGTGTAGCAGGCGGCCGAGAGGTGGTGCTATTGTGGCGTTGAGTTTTCATGTGTTGTGGGTGGCCGAGAGAGGGGCTCCATTGTTGTGGTGGCGGCGGGAGCAAGAGTGGCATGGCAGAGCTCAACGGTGAGACGATTGTCGGAGGTGATGGGTCAAATTTGTCTGCGGTGGTGGTGGTCAGGATTGTGACATCCGAAAATTTCGTAATAATAAGAAAGTGACGTTGAAAATTTTCTATGTTTGATAATTATTTAGTTTAGTTTTTGTGCGGACGCGTAAAAATCGTTGTTGGACCATAAATTGCGAGGCGCGAATTCTAGAACGTAATCGTTCTGAGCTCGACGTATTTAGAATTTTTAAACGTTGTTGTGTACGTTAATAGTAGTGCGGTATTAATTAATTTACCGTTGTCTTGGTAATTAGTGGTAATATTATTGGTTAATTTTTTGGTAAAGTAGTGTTAACCATTTTATTAAGTTCTAAGTGGTGTTAAAAGGGGGGGGGGGGGGGGGTATTCTCACCAAAACATCTCTTCAGACTCTCCTCTCACGTGGCTTATGAAGGAGTAAGCTTGGTCGCATGCCACTTGTCCTCTTAAGCCAAGCTTCTTGTTCTAGTTTGACAACTAGTCATAGATAATCATTTTCCTTAGCCATTACTCTTCCGTAATCATCCCTTGATTTATTACACCTGGCCGTGATGGAAAGAGGAAGTGCCACCTGTGAGTGTAATGTATTTGTCCACCTCAATGTCTACCCCTCTGTTTCATTTTATCTAGGTAACACCGAAGGAATTCTCATCCCCAGACGGTAACTCTTTTTCACCGTCAATCTTCAAAGAGTTTTTACCTTCATCAACACCCAATCTGAAATCTATAAGTTGGTTTTGGGTGTTCAGATTTTAGGCAAGGTAAGTGAAGACTCTAGAGTTAAGCTAGTTACATCTACTTGACAATTTTTAACTTGGTTGCTTGAGAAATGCTATTCTGATGTGTCATAATAGTGAAGATATGATGATGATGGTTGGATCTGCTTTGTTGGTTCTGTACATGTTCAAATGGATGTGATTTATTTCTTTAAAGTGTGTTGAAAATCGGCAAGTGCAATGGTTAAATCTGAACGTGTAAATGTCATCTTTGAGATAATTGTGGAATAAGTGTTGCTAGTTTTATGTATGTTTAAAAGGGTAGAACATCGTTTTACTCAAAGTGGAGTATATTAGGTGAGTGTAAATGATGATTCTGTTTACTTCTAAGCTGAACAGATTTTGAACTCAAATTCTGATTCTGTTTACTTTTGAGCTGAACAGATTTTAAACTCAAATTATGATTCTATTTACTTCTAAACTGAGCAGATTTTAGCCTCAAATTTTGGTTCTGACTACTTTTAAAACTACACAGATTTTACGGTCAGAATCTGAACAAGCCTCTTTTTAAAACTGTCCAGAACTTGCTTTCAAAGTCTAGACATATGTATTTCTAAACCCGAGTAGACTTTATTTTCAAAGTCTGAACGTATGTATTTCTGAACTTGAGTAGACTTTATTTTCAAAGTTTGAACGTATGTATTTCTGAACCCGAGTAGACTTTATTTTCAAAGTCTAAATATATGTGTACTTTCTGAACTTGAGTAGGCTTTCGCCTTTGAGTCTGAACCCGTATTGCTTCATACTTATTTGTTTGGTCAAGACTTCGTACTTGAGGAATATGTGGTGGAGCAAAAAGGTGAATGTGTATAATGAAATGCGTATAAATGCTTATGAATATGGTTATGGTTTGCATGGAAAATATTTTTTGTCACCCATAAATCAAAAGGTGATGATGCCCCAAGTTTTGGGATGCCCTGCTGTGTGGTACAGAATGCCCCGGGAGTTTCGGAATGCCCCGCTGTGTGGTCCGGGATGCCCCGAGAGTATTCGGGAGGAGAAGTAATAAACTTAACGTATGAATATGAGTGTTATTTACCATATGCTTACGTCTGAATGAAAATATTGTGGAATAATTAAGTGATTTGATTTGTGTGGCATATCTAGATGGAAAAGGTATAACATTCATTCAAATTCTATGCATACTGTTGTTATGCATGTATGTTATTTGTGCCATATGAAGTGGGAAGCTGGTTTTCCTAACTTAAAACTAGAAATTTCATTTACTGAGCCTCGGCTCATTCCTTTATTTTTCAGACGTATAGGATTGGACAATCTGCTGCCAATGCTTGCTGGTTTTCCTAGACACTATGAGTGCCATAACGTTGATATGCTTTTCACGGGAACGGATATAATTTATACTAGATGTATATCAACTATATGGGTTGATGTGGGGCTTCCGGAGTGAGTTCCTCATCGGTTTTATAGCATGGTATATGAACCTCAATGGCGACTTGATTGGGCCGTTGCGGGATTTTGATTGATATGAAGGCGGCGACACCTACAGCTCGTTGTAAAGTCTACTTTTGTACAAGTAGTCTTTTGGAGTGGATTATAGCATGGAGATAGGCAACCTTGACCTACCCAAACTTTTGTTTTTTTGTACTTATTTGATGTTTTGTTTGGGCTTGTAAATCTATCAAGTGTTGTTAATAAGAAGCAAAAAGTATTTTGACTAAACTTGTGTGATATTCACTTTTAAAACATGTTCAGACTTTGACTTCCGCTGGCCAAATTTTTAATAATATTAATGGACACGTGTCACAT